GAAATAGAAACTCTCAAGTTATTATATCCTACAAAGGATTAAAATGATATTGAGATTTTATGTATACATACACACACATGTATTAATTATTTAGTGTGAATTAAATTTTATTTCGATTTCTTCAGAGAGATTGTACAAGAATGTTTACATCAACTATATTGAATTGAATATTAAACATATACACTAAGTCAAAATATTCAGAAAAATATTTATCTTGACACTATAATTTCAGATATAGTCATACAAATTTCAACAATTTTTAAGTTCATGGTTTCAAACATGAAAATTGGATAAGACACAGTTTACAACAGTTTACAGATGTCAGAAGTAGATAACTGGTAACAATATAAGAGGTAAAATTACCATTCTTAGTAACCTGTGACTCTCATTGCCGCTTCTACCCCCCCAAGCAACTCTTAAATAAGCTGCTGCTTACAGATGTAGCGATTTTTCCTTCCACAGGGTTCATCCAGAATATTTTTGCGTGCATATACTATGCAGTTCTTTGGATTTAAAGTGTGAGACAATGGAAAGCTGTAATGGAAAAGGAAGCATTAACATATAGGAAAAGAAAATGAGAATGTTTAGAGATGTTTTTGAATTACATGAGAAAACTTTTAAAATCATGTAAGATATTAACATAGTAATTATTATTTTTTTTCTTTCCATAAGTGTAATTTCCTAATTTTAGGGTACAATGCTGCAAAAAAATAATTAAATAAAAACCAAAAACCTCAATTATTTCCTCTATTATCAGTAGCACTAAGGCCAGGGATTTTTTTTTTCTTTGTTTTTTCCATTGTCATTAATGGTTTTGAGTCTGATGTATTTTATTTTTATTTTGTTTAAGACATTTAGTCAATCTAATCTAGGAAAACAAGCTAGATTATAAACTTTTTGACTACATATGTTGCACATCTCACATTTATGAGTAAAAATGAGATTCAAAGATTATGACTATACAGAAAAGAAGTCCGGAGTATTTAGAAGCTGTGAGGATCCTGAGAATATTGTGCTACACCAGAATAAGAAAAATCGTGGATATTTGTTTCTCAGTTGTCTCTAGGTGTGTGAGCATCTGTATTTCCTCATATACCTCCAAGTATTTGTATTAAAGTTAAAACAAAAACCATGTGTTATGGTCACAAGTATGTCTTCATGTTATTTGAACATAAACTTGAAAGTTCTGAGTGCAGCTAAAATTGTTATTCTGTTATACCTGTTCTCTTCTCTGTATTCTCATGCCTAGACAGATTGTTTCACCTACAGTTCTCCTGAATGTTCCTTAGTTGGATCAAAGGATAAATTTACAGAGAGCAAAAAAGAACTCGACTGCCAGAAACTTACAGATCCTGGGAAAGAGCAGAACCATTCTCCCATAACCAGGCCTCACGTTCTTGACTGTAAGAGAGTCCAATCCAGTAAAAAGCATCACCAGAATCTATAAAACTCTGCTTAGAAACAGGAACACACATATTAAACTAATTTGACTGTGCTTTGCAAATAACATATTTTTAACTAAATCAGCATTTAGAAGATTCCGGCTGTCTATCACACAAACTGAAATCTTTTTTAACTTCTAATTTAGATGGTACAGTCACATGCCTCAAATTTCTCACTTACAAACCTATTAATTTATGGAGAAAAATACCACAAAATCTCACCTCTTGAAGAAATGGAAAACATAAAGGGAGTTAGAGTTTTCATGGAACACTTCCTTCATAGAGGTCAATGGCCAAATTTGATCCCAAATTAACAATATCTTAAAGAATAAATTTCATGGGTATAACTTACTAAACCTACACTGAGCAGAGATTTGACATGCAGAAGAAAATTTTCCCTTTTTCTTAAGAACTGCATCATTTCCGTCTTCTCTCTCTCTCTTTCTCTCTCTCTCTCTTTCTCTCTCTCTCTCTTTCTCTCTCTCTCTCTCTTTCTCTCTCTCTCTCTTTCTCTGGCAAGTGCACATGCCCTCTGGCAAAATTTAAAAAATTTAAAAAAAGAAACAGAGAGAGAACTCACAAATGTGAAAATGTATTCTCCTGTCACTTTCTGCCTCTAAGTTAAAAAACATAGATATCTAGAAATAATTTAAAAGGAACATTAAAATTATTTCCACTTCCTCAAAAGTGAGATGAAATAGAACCTCTCAAGTTATTATATCCTACAAAGGATTAAAATGATATTGAGATTTTATGTATACATACACACACATATATTAATTATTTAGTGTGAATTAAATTTTATTTCGATTTCTTCAGAGAGATTGTACAAGAATGTTTACATCAACTATATTGAATTGAATATTAAACATATACACTAAGTCAAAATATTCAGAAAAATATTTATCTTGACACTATAATTTCAGATATAGTCATACAAACTTCGACAATTTTTAAGTTCATGGTTTCAAACATGAAAATTGGATAAGACACAGTTTACAACAGTTTACAGATGTCAGAAGTAGATAACTGGTAACAATATAAGAGGTAAAATTACCATTCTTAGTAACCTGTGACTCTCATTGCCGCTTCTACCCCCCCAAGCAACTCTTAAATAAGCTGCTGCTTACAGATGTAGCGATTTTTCCTTCCACAGGGTTCATCCAGAATATTTTTGCGTGCATATACTATGCAGTTCTTTGGATTTAAAGTGTGAGACAATGGAAAGCTGTAATGGAAAAGGAAGCATTAACATATAGGAAAAGAAAATGAGAATGTTTAGAGATGTTTTTGAATTACATGAGAAAACTTTTAAAATCATGTAAGATATTAACATAGTAATTATTATTTTTTTTCTTTCCATAAGTGTAATTTCCTAATTTTAGGGTACAATGCTGCAAAAAAAATAATTAAATAAAAACCAAAAACCTCAATTATTTCCTCTATTATCAGTAGCACTAAGGCCAGGGATTTTTTTTTTCTTTGTTTTTTCCATTGTCATTAATGGTTTTGAGTCTGATGTATTTTATTTTTATTTTGTTTAAGACATTTAGTCAATCTAATCTAGGAAAACAAGCTAGATTATAAACTTTTTGACTACATATGTTGCACATCTCACATTTATGAGTAAAAATGAGATTCAAAGATTATGACTATACAGAAAAGAAGTCCGGAGTATTTAGAAGCTGTGAGGATCCTGAGAATATTGTGCTACACCAGAATAAGAAAAATCGTGGATATTTGTTTCTCAGTTGTCTCTAGGTGTGTGAGCATCTGTATTTCCTCATATACCTCCAAGTATTTGTATTAAAGTTAAAACAAAAACCATGTGTTATGGTCACAAGTATGTCTTCATGTTATTTGAACATAAACTTGAAAGTTCTGAGTGCAGCTAAAATTGTTATTCTGTTATACCTGTTCTCTTCTCTGTATTCTCATGCCTAGACAGATTGTTTCACCTACAGTTCTCCTGAATGTTCCTTAGTTGGATCAAAGGATAAATTTACAGAGAGCAAAAAAGAACTCGACTGCCAGAAACTTACAGATCCTGGGAAAGAGCAGAACCATTCTCCCATAACCAGGCCTCACGTTCTTGACTGTAAGAGAGTCCAATCCAGTAAAAAGCATCACCAGAATCTATAAAACTCTGCTTAGAAACAGGAACACACATATTAAACTAATTTGACTGTGCTTTGCAAATAACATATTTTTAACTAAATCAGCATTTAGAAGATTCCGGCTGTCTATCACACAAACTGAAATCTTTTTTAACTTCTAATTTAGATGGTACAGTCACATGCCTCAAATTTCTCACTTACAAACCTATTAATTTATGGAGAAAAATACCACAAAATCTCACCTCTTGAAGAAATGGAAAACATAAAGGGAGTTAGAGTTTTCATGGAACACTTCCTTCATAGAGGTCAATGGCCAAATTTGATCCCAAATTAACAATATCTTAAAGAATAAATTTCATGGGTATAACTTACTAAACCTACACTGAGCAGAGATTTGACATGCAGAAGAAAATTTTCCCTTTTTCTTAAGAACTGCATCATTTCCGTGCCAGTAGGTGGCATAGTGATTACGGCACTGGACTATACATGGCTGACCATGGTTCGAGTCCTAGACCCAATGGCCTGAAAAATTATACCAGGTGTGTGTGTGTGTGTGTGTGTGTGTGTGTGTGTGCCCAAAATCCTGAGAGGAGAATGGAGGAGAAAAGATTGCAGAGTGGCCATCTCTCCTAAGTGATTTCTCATTTTCCCTCTGTCTGTCTATTTCTGGCAAACACATACACCCTATGACAAAAAATAATTAATTTTTATGAACATACTCTCCATACTGGTTTTACATTATACCCCAGAAAAATGGCAAAAGATATATAATTACCAAAGAATTTATAAATTCTATTAAAAGAGCTAAACATTATAAAGTCACTTAGTTCTTTGAATAAAATGTACAAAAATAATGACCTATAATTTCTTCTTTCAATTTCTCTGAAAAATATTTTGCACATTGTCTCACATCTATCTTGATTTCAATTACCATGATGTAAATTTCTGAGGAACTTTAAGTGGGTTTCATAACCATGTCTATGTATATAATTTATGATTACATCATGTGTTCAAGTATAACCATTTGTTTTCTACCTTACTAAAAGCTTGAACCAAAGTTTTCAGCTTACTTAGATAGTATATTTCTCTTTATGAAAGAAAGTGTAGAAAACCGTAATCAAGTACGTGCCAATTCCTCTCTGCTTTGGAGGTGAAGTAGACTGGTATTCTGAGAAGCACAGAGATGTCTACTTTCTTCCCAAGTTTTTCTTTCATTAGAAATGAAGTAACAATTGCATTGGTATCCAATCCACTTGTCTTTGCAAAAACAACAGTCAGCGCCTAAGAGAAAAAAATAAATTTGACTGATAACATTGGTCATTTCCATTTAGTTTACTGCTATTTAAACTAAATATTCATTCAAAAAGTATTTGTTATTTAGGTTTTTTATAAATATTTTGAGTCTACTGTATACATCCTAGTTCAGAAGATATTAAAATGAACAATTTGCACTTGATGCTTTTCCTTCATGGAGATTATATTCTAGAGATATATTCAGGATAATATCATTTTCAATAACTTATTAATTACATTTAATGACTGTAAAGATAAAAATACAAAAAATAAAAAATAAAAAACAGTGCGTAAAGCAGCTTGTAGCAGAGTACAGGATAGGGGACAGTTAGAACCTTTTTTGGTGGATGTGACCCAAATTCACTGTGGTATTAATATGAGTTAACTAGATGAAAGAGACTTAAAGAAGGAACAAACTTTAGCATATTTCCAAAAAATAGTACCAGAAAAGAATCTGGTACTTTGGGAGAATATTAATATATGTTTGGATATTTTATTTTTTCAAAAGGAAGACAAGTAAACCAATTAGTTGAAGGCCAGTCATAGAGTTTATCTGTGACAGTATATTCGACACTTTTTATCCTCAATAATAAAAGTTATGAGACAGTAGACACTTGGATCTTTGCCAAGTAAGTGGTGCTGAAGTTGATAAGATATAAAGGAAGTGCTATGTAATCACATAAGAAAATGAGACAATTTGGGAAGCTTTTGAGAAAACATCTTCCAAAGATTGGACTTTGAGCTAGCTTTCATGGAATACATAAAGTTTAGAATTACAGCAATCTGTGCCCTATAGTTTGAGTCACAGAAGCAGCAGAATTAAGTTAAAGAGAAATGTTAATATAGGTAACAGGCAAAGAGAAGCCTATAATTAAGATTAGCTCTAATATATTGCAGTTTGTTTGCTATTTGTTACTTAAACATGAGCACTAATATAGGAAAATTATCATTCTTACATTAGAGAATAATGAAATGATATTCTCCTACAATTATAAGCAAGCTGATATTGCCAATTATATTTCCTAACGTTCCTGTGTGAAAAACAAGAAACTATTTCATTCTTTACCGATACTATCGTTTTCCAAAGTACGAAATCTACCTTCCTGGTGTCCTGTGATAGGTGGTGGAGATGAAGCTGGCCGAACACTTTCTTTACTCAGTGCTATAAGAAATTATTAGAAATCTGCTTAATTATGAGTTTATAAGATCAAATATACATTTGAAAAATAAAATTTCTGTCATTAAATAATCTCATCTTTATATAGACTTGCCTAGAGAAACTTACAATTTTTTAGTAAAATTCCCAAAGTAACCATCAATGAAAGGCAAATAACTCCTAAGATCCCAGAAACCAGCCTCCAATGAATGGTATGAAAAGCTGCAGAAAGAGAGAAATAGGATAAGGATTGAAAGAACACACACAAGAGCTGAAGTTCTTAAAAGTAGAAACCTGTGGGGAAGAATCCAAACAGTTTTTCATTTTGTAACACAGTTGTCTTGTCCATGAAACAATGGAAAAATGAAGATATGTCATTCAGAACTCTATCTAATACCAACACTTTTATGTAGTGTACCTCATTCTTCAGTAAGATTGTCCATATATTTTCTTTTCTACGAGTCTTTTCAGTAAAGTGGATCCACCATTTCTTTTCATTTTTTAAAAAAATCATAATAAAGCATACCTACAAGCACAAGAGATGGAGCACCCTTCACAAAGTCTAGTCACACAATCCCCTTCCTTCAGTAGTCCTGCAGCCCACTGGATCTTGGGCACTTGCTCACATGCCTGGTGTGTTTCAGGCTGCCCAAGCCAGAGATTCAAACCCTAATCACCACATGGAATCCAGCTTCTCTTGAGTAGTGTATTACCACTGTGCCATGTAGCTGGCCCACCATTTATTTATTTAAATTGGCAAAGAATCATAGAAATCTGTAAGAAGAGATCAATTGGTACCAAGTTGTGTTTTTAGAGATTCAAATAACAGATTTTTAGCTTCATTCTCTTAACAAAATCACAAGCTAGATAATATGATTCCTATTATATAGATGAGAAAACTTAGACTCAAATAATAATATTATTTTCTGAAGGTAACAAAGCTAATAAGTATCCAAATTAGAAATCAAATGAACGTTCGTATAGGTCCAGCGTCTTCCACTTAACATATTCTATCTTTGCCAAAATAATATTATTTGGCAGCATAACCTCTCCAACCTCATCATGGGCTCTGGTCTCATAAATGTCTAGCTGCTGACAGGTTTGTAGAAGGAAGAGAAGATATAAGAACATTCTAGGCTTGGTGTGATGAGAGGTTTCCAGAACCAACATATGAATAATACCTGGAGATCTCCGTTCATTTCATAGTACATTAAATGATGATACAAAAACCATCTTTTTCACAAGAACATTATATTTGCTTATACTCAGAGTTACTTGCTTTTAGTCTTTTCCCCTTAACATTTTAAGATTAAATTCTGCATTAACACATTCTCAACAACTGTTGTTGTCTTTAAAAAACAATATAAATGTGTCAAACTGTTCATCTATGTGATTTTTGCATGTCTCAACACAATTTTTTTACTTAAGCATTGGGTCATTCATATGTGGCATTCTTTAATTTCTATGCCAGAAATAGGCTCCACACAGAATTACATTGCCAGGTATGTTCCTTCTCATTCAAAATTTAGGGTATCAGAAGCTACTCTTTAATCCTGTTGAAAAAGCTTCACAAGATGTCTAAGTCACAGAACAATCAGAGGGGAACATGAATGTAGATAATACAGACACGAGGATGTGTGGTGGTCTCAACTGGGCTGGACTGAGGTGTATGTCATGCTGGGTAAAGTCTCTTCGCAATCTAATTATGTATAGCGATTTAATGTATGAATAATAATAATAAATACATATATATATATATAAAAAGAAAATACAGATACATTGAAAGCCTAAAACTATCCAGTTATTCATACCCTTTTTCTTGAAAACCACTGCTCTGAAAATAGCCAATCCATGAGACACTTTCTCTGGTTGATTTTAATAGTTTAATTCTATGACTGGGGCACACATACCTGTCATGAGGAATGATGTTCCAAGTGTGATGTAAAGATGTCACAATATGTGCTTGTTTAAGAAGAAAGGTGTTGAGTCAAGGAGCTGAGCTGGAGGTTAAGGAATCCAATAGTTGAATACAAAGACATTTCAAATAAAAAGAGAAAGAAAAATTGTGTATTTAAATGATGTTTTTGAATCATTTACTGGTGAGACACCTTAGTGCCAATATGAAGCAGTAAAATCACAAGCTTCTCAAAAGTTCTGAGAACCACAATACAGGAAATAGCCTCTCACCACATGGAATCCAGCTTCTCTTGAGTAGTGTATTACCACTGTGCCATGTAGCTGGCCCACCATTTATTTATTTAAATTGGCAAAGAATCATAGAAATCTGTAAGAAGAGATCAATTGGTACCAAGTTGTGTTTTTAGAGATTCAAATAACAGATTTTTAGCTTCATTCTCTTAACAAAATCACAAGCTAGATAATATGATTCCTATTATATAGATGAGAAAACTTAGACTCAAATAATAATATTATTTTCTGAAGGTAACAAAGCTAATAAGTATCCAAATTAGAAATCAAATGAACGTTCGTATAGGTCCAGCGTCTTCCACTTAACATATTCTATCTTTGCCAAAATAATATTATTTGGCAGTATAACCTCTCCAACCTCATCATGGGCTCTGGTCTCATAAATGTCTAGCTGCTGACAGGTTTGTAGAAGGAAGAGAAGATATAAGAACATTCTAGGCTTGGTGTGATGAGAGGTTTCCAGAACCAACATATGAATAATACCTGGAGATCTCCGTTCATTTCATAGTACATTAAATGATGATACAAAAACCATCTTTTTCACAAGAACATTATATTTGCTTATACTCAGAGTTACTTGCTTTCAGTCTTTTCCCCTTAACATTTTAAGATTAAATTCTGCATTAACACATTCTCAACAACTGTTGTTGTCTTTAAAAAACAATATAAATGTGTCAAACTGTTCATCTATGTGATTTTTGCATGTCTCAACACAATTTTTTTTACTTAAGCATTGGGTTATTCATATGTGGCATTCTTTAATTTCTATTCCAGAAATATGCTCCACACAGAATTACATTGCCAGGTAATTCTCATTCAAAATTTAGGGTATCAGAAGCTACTCTTTAATCCTGTTGAAAAAGCTTCACAAGATGTCTAAGTCACAGAACAATCAGAGGGGAACATGAATGTAGATAATACAGACACGAGGATGTGTGGTGGTCTCAACTGGGCTGGACTGAGGTGTATGTCATGCTGGGTAAAGTCTCTTCACAATCTAATTATGTATAGCGATTTAATGTATGAATAATAATAATAAATACATATATATATATATAAAAAGAAAATACAGATACATTGAAAGCCTAAAACTATCCAGTTATTCATACCCTTTTTCTTGAAAACCACTGCTCTGAAAATAGCCAATCCATGAGACACTTTCTCTGGTTGATTTTAATAGTTTAATTCTATGACTGGGGCACACATACCTGTCATGAGGAATGATGTTCCAAGTGTGATGTAAAGATGTCACAATATGTGCTTGTTTAAGAAGAAAGGTGTTGAGTCAAGGAGCTGAGCTGGAGGTTAAGGAATCCAATAGTTGAATACAAAGACATTTCAAATAAAAAGAGAAAGAAAAATTGTGTATTTAAATGATGTTTTTGAATCATTTACTGGTGAGACACCTTAGTGCCAATATGAAGCAGTAAAATCACAAGCTTCTCAAAAGTTCTGAGAACCACAATACAGGAAATAGTCTCACCATGCTTTTTGTGATGTGAACACTGTGACTGGCACAAAAGCTAAAAAGGAAGCTTTCAAAAGTGTTTGAACATCTTGCATCTTAGAAAAATAATTTGAAAAATAAAGAAAAAGATGTGTAGACATAAGGTCAATTTACTTAGTACAATAAACTTGCACACTGAATTCTTCTCTTTTGATTACATATCAGTAGAATTTTAAGAATTCTCCCTGCAGTGTTTCATTGTAACAGTGTCAGACGCATAAAAAGATGGCAGAGAGTTTTAAAGGCTTAGTTAAAAATAAACATGTCAAAAGAACTCTAATCCCTGCAGTTCCAATGATACAATGGTTCTTATATTTACTTTTGCTTATGGAACATTGGGTGCTTTGTATTTTGAATAAAGTAAATGGGACGCTATCAAACAACCATTCAATGCATATCCCCAAAACCATTTTCTCTAAAAGAGAATAACTACATGATTCATTTTTCGCTTTCTCTTTTTTACTCATTTAATTATAAAATATAAATCACCATCAAATGTCATTCATCTTAGGAAAGATCAGAACATAAACATTTTAGAAACGTAGGTGATTAGATGTGTGTTCCAACACTTCCTCAGTTATTAGAGTTGCAATGTCATGATGCCTCAATTCAAGGAAACTTTGTGGATAAAGCATTGGTATGTTCTACAGTCTAAAGTCAGTCACCACAGGTTCTGTATATAGCCATAGCAAGATTTTTTTTTTTTAAGAGGAGGGACTAATTCTTACATTCATGTCTCTAAAATTATCCTGCCTTTATATTATAGATGTACGCTGGACACTCCCACACGACCACAGTTCAAGTCCTGGACCACCTGGTGGCTTGGTTTCTCACTTTTCCTTTCTCTCTCTCTCTCTCTCTGTCTCTATCTGGTCAAATTAAAATGAGTGAATGAAAAAATAAAAATAAGTAAATAATGTTTAAAAACCTGCATCACTTAAAAATAAATAATAGAGATCAGCAAAAAGGCTTATGATTCAAAAGCAGTTTAATTGGATATTAGATAAAACAATGGGTAAGACAAAAAATTTCACTCTACGTTGAAACTAGGTATTAGAACTAACTGTCTAAAGGATATAGAAACACAGTATATAGATGTAAATACCAGACATAGTGTGTGTGAAAGAGGAGGGTCTGAGGAAGGACATTTGGGAGGGGGGAAAGGAGGAAAAGCATTTATGGCACAAAGAGGTGTGGTATTATCTGTTGAAGATATTTCGTAGTTTTATCAACAGTACTAGGGAGAAATGTTCACTTATTGAAATATCCATTTTGTAAAACAAATAATAATGTGATTGAATGTATGGAAGAAAATGAAATGAAAATAAATAAATTAATTAAAAAAAGAAGAAACTAGGCATTAGAATAATGATTGCCTATTTTATCCGTAATTACCTAAAGGACAAAAAATGAACCTAATATGTTTATTTAAATGTCACATCACAACATCACACAGTCAAAATATTTAATAAATAAATATAATTTTTCCATATCATTTTCATAGTAACATAGTTATTTATATTTTAATGCATTAATAATGTCTATTTTATTTACTCTAAATTTTCTGTTCACATGCTTTCTAAACACCTAAATTTTAACTATTTATGTAAGTTATTAAGACACCTTATGTCAATTTTATTATAAATATTTTAGAGCGCAGGTAATAACTTAGATAATTTGTTCAAAAATTCATTCAATGCCTAGCAGCCAAATATAGCTTTCAGCTTAACTTAGAAGAATTTTTTAATATTTCCCAAAGGAAACTGAGGGATACCTGAGTTAATACAATATGGATTCCTCTCTACTCTTTAACTGAAGTAGACTTAAACTCTGAGCATCATAGGGAACCCAGTTTTCTATCACAATGTGTGCTGTATTAGAATAGAGATGACACTTGAAGCTGTTCCAAATCCACTCTGAACCAGAAAAGAGAAGGGAGAGCCAAAATTGAAGAGAAATAAAGAAATACCTCAAAATGAAAATTGAAATTTGAGCTGCTCCCGTAGGATAAATAAAACTTAAAATACAGATGTCTGGTTATTGTAAAGTGAGGAGCAGTTAACAGCCCTGCTTCATATCAGAAACTAAAAAGACAGAAAAATACATAACATATTCTCTCTTCTTACTCTTTTTAATGTTACATAATGTACATATTAAAAAACAAAAGTTTAAGGCCAAAATTTAATAATTTATCAGAGACAACACCCACGTAACCATCATCCAAATCAAGACAGAATGTTTCCAGCATCTCTGAAAGCTCTCATCATCTAACATTCCAATAATACATGAGTTGACTGAGTAGTGGAGGATTTTAACATTTATCGATCACAGATTACATGCTAATTCTAGCACTTGATGTGTATGTTTCATTTCGATATATACGTGTGTGTGTGTCTGTGTGTACGCACACGAGCAGTCTTCAAAAAAAAAAGTCACAGATACATAAGTGGAAAATTATCTGTGGATAATAATGTATATGGTAATATGTTTGACCTCATTGATATGCACTGCATTCATCCATTTTGTACACTAAGAAGATGTACAATGATTCAATATAAATTTAAAATGTAAAAACATAAATCATAATTTAAAAGTTCTTGGGGGGGGGCGGCAGGTAGTATAGTTATTAAACACAGACACCCACATAGCTGACCATGGTTCGAGTCCTGGACCTGACTGCTTGCTTTCTCACCTTCTCTTTGTCACTCTCTGTCAAATTTAAACACATAATAATAACAAATAAATAAAGTTAAATGAAAAAAAAAAAAAAGTTCATGAAGGGCCAGTAGATGACATAGCAGTGACATCACTGGACTCCCGCATGGCTGACCACAGTTTGAGTTCTGAACCTGGTGGCTTCAAAATTATATCAGACGTGTGCATGCCCAAAATCCTAGGAGGAGACTGGAGGAGAAGTGATTGCAGCGTGGCCATCCTTTGTCGGGGGGTGATTTCTCACTTTTCCTCTCACTGTCTCTTTCTCTTTCTCTCTCCAGCGAGTGCACACACCCTAAAGTAAAAACCTTTTTAAAAAATAAATAAAAGTGAAGTTCATAAAAATGTATAGTATGAAAAAATTATGGATTTCATTTTTACATCAAAATAAGTTCATACTTTAATTCTATCTTTTCATGGACTATTTTTAAGTACCCTGGTAAGTATATGTGTGTATATCATACACACACACACACACACACACACACACACATACATATCTTAGTAAAGTATTTTGATGAAGTATATGTGTGTATATCATACACACACACATACACATACATATCTTAGTAAAGTATTTTGATTTTCTGTTATTTTAGTTATGTAGAAATTTACTAATACATCAGAAATTTCATGCCAATACCTTTTTTACTGTAATGATCACAAAAATATCCTAACTGATAGGAAAATATTTAAATTCCTTCCACCT